AGTTGGGACGGACATGATCGGCGAGTTGCCGGAGTCGGGAGGATACAATGCGATCAGCACGTTCGTGGACCATTTCACAAAGCGGTTACGCATTATACCAACACACACCACCCTGTCGTCAGAAGGCATGGCTCGTATTTACCGCGATCGAATCTTCCCCATACATGGATTGCCGCGACAGATGATACATGATCGAGGTCCGCAATACCACTCGCGTTTCATGAAGGAGTTATACCGGCTGTTGGGCATTGAAGGGAACTTCACGACGGCGTACCATCCACAGGCAAATGGGCAAACAGAACGGTTGAACCAAGAGATAGAACATTTCTTACGGTTATTCGTCAATTACCATCAGAACGACTGGCATGAATGGTTACCCTCTGCCGAATTCGTTTACAACGATCGGGTACACTCAGCAACCAAGGTTACTCCGTTCTTCGCAGACATGGGCAGACACCCCTACAAAGGCACCGCTCCGAAAACGGCATCGAGAAACGAGACTGCGCAGGAGTTTGCCGACGGCATGAGGAAAACATGGGACGAAGTAGGGTCGGCATTGAAGATGGCAAAAGAGGACATGAAACGGTTTTATGACAGGAAACGGACAGACGCAGTAGAGTACAAGGAGGCGACAAAGTATGGCTGGAAGGGACGAATCTCAGCACAGACCGACCAATGAAGAAGCTCGATGACAAACGCTTCGGGCCGTTCAAAGTGATCAAGAAGTCGGGACAAGCTCTTACAAGCTCCAGATTCCTCACACGTGGAAAAGCATCCATTCCGTGTTCAATGAGGCCCTGCTGACGCCTTACCACGAGCCGCAATTTCCGACGCAACCCCGAGACACGCGTCCACCACCTGTGCTGGAAGGAGCCGAACCGGAATGGGAGGTTAAGAAAGTGGTTAATTCCCGGAAGTACCGCGGGGGTTTTCAATACAAGGTTCACTGGAAGGGTTATGGCACACACAAGCAGACATGGGAACCGGCATGCAATCTCAAAAATGCCGACGAAGCCATCAGTGATTTCCACCAACAATATCCGAACAAGCCAAAGCCACCCGCGCTTGCTCGCATTGAAGTCCCCATGTCGCAATTTCCATCACATCTTTTCCGACCCATGACACCGCCCAATACCGAACCCCTCGACGTCACGCTACCCTCTGCAGCCCTCATGGAGCGACTCTGGCGCAGAATGGAACTTGCGCCTTAAGGAGGGGGTGATGTTATGAATCGTCATATTTTCACATTTTCACATCTTATCATATCTTATCGGGAGCCTTGTCTTATCAACCAACGGACCGTTTCACCATCTGTTTCGTCACCGATCATACCCTTTTCATTACCGAAGCCGTACTCATGTCGGACACACGCCCAACACATGGATGACATCATACATGCCGATACCTCATGGACTCCCTATTGTATACACACCGCCGACACTCGTAGCACACATGGTTGTTTCAGTATTATTACTTACATGCAGTCACCACTCGTATTTAATGGTTTCACGGACTAGTAGCATACAACACTGGGTCAAGGGCGTGGAGCATCCCTAGTGGAAACGCGTATGGACAAGGAGCTTCAAACACAGACTTACTAGTATATAAGCAGTAGTGTAGTATCATTGTACTTTAGTTCCGATCTCGTTTATACACCTGGCCTAGCCTAGTCTTACGAACGCGAACATTTTCTTCCTTAGTTCTTGCTGTGGTACCTGGTTGAGTCTCGTGGCTTAGTCAGTCGCTAACACCATCTCCCGCACTCCTCCTCGTCATTCCAGTGTTTTTTCCCGCCCTCCATCCCCAGCTACTCCCATTCAGCGTTGGTGGGGGAAATTGGTTCGTTTCCCTCCGGGTTCCTTCCCCCTTCACCGACGTTCAAGTCTCGGTTTGGTCCTTTACAGGTGGCATCCTCGCCACACCCTGCTCCCATGGAGGTTTCCCTCGAATGTCCTCATGTGACCGTTTTCCAACCTCATGGCGAGCCGGCCCACACCGAGCCTTCGACAACACCCAAGAACTAAGTTCTTGGTTTTCCTTCACAGACAGCCTTTCCTATTCTTATTCCAGTTCATTCCTCCTCTGGCAAACAGAGCCATAGGCTTATCTTATCAGGCTCTCATGCCGTAGGAATTCACTTACAATGCACCACCAATTTCAGCTTTGGAGTACACGGATGCTCAGCGAAGCGTTCCAGCGAGCGAAACGCCTCCGTATCGCCCAAGTCAAGAGTGGACAAAACGTGCCATTCGTAACAAGACAATTGCACCCCAACATGAACTTGGATAGATCTCAATCGCGAAGTACCACGGCTGCGCATCGTACTTTGCCGACAACGTTCGATAACCACAGAGACATCCATCAAAATAGATTCTATGAAATCATGGAGAACCTTTTCGCTTTCGTGGCCCTGCCAGTGGAAGGCATTATCGAGATCCATTTTCATCCTGCGCGAGTGAAAGGACACGTCAAAGTCACTAGAAGTTCTCAGAACGATGCTGGTAAGATTCAGCAAAGAGAAGGGATCAATAATCTCGAGAATCTCGTAGTGAATGGCCCCCGGCAAAGGTGTAAACATCAGCTCAAGTTCGCTGAGTTGTGGCGCTTCGTGGAAGAGCTCACGAAGGTGTCGTCCGGAGTCCTGGGAAAGAATGCCATGGATCACAAGACGACTAAGCGCATCACATCTAGAGCGGCGGATATAGTTGAGAATGGGAGCAAGAGACATCGACACAGGGGGCTTTCTGGGCGGTCCAAGAGATGTCACTTGCAGTGTCGTCACTGAGGGACTGATGAGGATGTTCAGAAGTGTTGCACATCCAACCGTGAGGTGTCGAACGGAAGAGGGAATCATGTATTCAATGCGGGAGGATTGTTGTGACCGGTCATGGAAATTGGGCATGAGTTTCAGATGGGTTAATTGCGTTGACAGGCGAAGGATACGACGCAGAGATGGCGGCAATTGAACATCATGCGGCATGTTGTTGAATTTGATTGTTAGATGAGTCAATTGATCCCAAGGCAAATCAAGTAGGAGGCCGGAAGCGTAAACCGCCACATGAGCGGTGCGCAGCCTCGGCGCCGCCCCAAAAGCGTGTATAGAAGATACGTGTTTCACAGGATCTACAGCATCGCCAAAATCGAGGTGGATATGCTCGAGTCGAGGAAGACGAAGAGGCTCGTCCAGAATATAACGAAGGATGTCCCAATAGGCAATGCGGTCGAACGTAAGCGAGCGCCACTGAAGTGAGCGCTCAAACAGCAGGCGAAGAATAAGCTGGAGGGGTGCTGGCAAGGCTGTGCTCTGAACGCCTGGAATCCACAGGCCCCTCGTCTCGAGCTTGAGGTCGAACGGCGCTCTGTCCCGTTCCTTCAAGAGGCATTCGAGATTTCCCATGAGTGGAAGGATTGCCGCCGTCCCAGCGTCAACGTTTCCGATGACCAGCCGTAGAGCAAATGGAACAGTGTTCATGATTGTCCTCCATCGATGACATACGTGGGCCGGCGTTCGAAGGATTGGCGGGCACTTTTTCCTAGGCCAGAAGCTCGGTCCCGCATAAAAGACGTAGGTCACCGCGGGCAAGTTGCTGAAAATCATCTGCAGGACCTCGGTAGGCAGACCGTCGATGGACACGCTGCCGACTGGGAACAGAGCAAGACACGAGGAATCCTGCTGATGATTCATGTCCTCGGCGGGGGCAGCGACGAGCTGGCGACGCAACATGCTGGCTATGGAGAGGAATAGTCGCGACATAGCAAGGTGGACCGACTGGGATGCGACAGCTCCAAAATTGGGAGGATTGTCGTGGCGGTGATGGGTGCACGAAGGCAGGACGCAAGATGCCTTGGCCTTCTACAGCTTTTGTCTTCGTGGGAAAATGACAGGAAGTCTGGTCCGTCTCAAATGGGGCCGCACCATCCCAGGTCTTTGACACAACATCCCTGTGGTCCAAGAGTCGAGGGGAAGGTAGAAAGGAACGAAAGCCTGTTGCCTTTTTGTTAGCATTGTCTATGTAGAACAAAAAAACAATAAGCACGGTCGACCCATGTACGATTACGTGGTCGAAGTGACGATGAAACAAGCTCTATTATCCAACGAGATTCTTGGAGCCTGCGAGGGCATGGTGGCGTCTGGCGGCGATAAGATGGTCTATCACGTCGGGGAGGGCAGATCATATAAGAAAAGAGGAAGACATCCAATCCAAAGCGTCGCTCTTTGAATATGGGTCGGTTCATGTATGAGGGTGAATAGATAGCTAGATTAAAAACAGTATCGTAGTGCAATACTGTAGTCTAGCGCCCGGCGATCTGTAAAGGTCCGTGCCGTGTAATTGATGATGATGATGACAGGGTGACACGGCGATGCACCACAGCAATTTGAAAGCCTTAAGGGCAAGCATAACTGAGGACCGTCACACCTTTATGAAAAGCAGTAAGTCAATTGTTTTCTGGTCCGGTAATAGCTCAAAAATCGATTCTGGCGGGTGTGCATTGATGAAAGTTGAAAACTCGGGTTGCCTGTGACGGTAAGAATGAAGAGAGTCGATCCACAACAACAAGTCGATCAACAATATGCTCAATTTCTGAGCTAATGCATGTCATTCGATGCGACTCGGACTGTGGCGCGTACATTGGGTTGCTTGGAAGTTCAAGGCGATTCGCCGCTCGCGTGAAATACGGAGAAGACTATTAAGTGCTTACTTACTACGGTGACGCATGACCATCGTTCCAGTGCGCTTATGATCATCATCAATCAGCATACTCTCGCGAATCAAGTAAGTACCAGGAATGCCAAGGCCACTTGCTCATCCATACTTGGGTAGTCTCACTGTGACTATTCTACGTCACATTGGCGTGCTATTGCCTATCTTCTCGTCTGCCTAACATTCAAGCACAGTATATCTTTCCGTGGACACACCTGGATTTGAGTTCATTTTATGCTGGCCAAAACGAAGGTAATGGAAAACTACCTGAAAATTTGGGCAACTCGCCAAGCGTTATCCCTCTTAGCTCAGTGGTAGAGCGCGTCACTAGTACGCATCTATGACGAGGTCAGTCGTTCAAGTCGGCTAGAGGGAATGGGAAGATATTTTCTTTGGTTTTGCCCGGGAGATTTGTGTCAGTGATCCTTTGAATTCCATCATGTTAGGACCTCCGGAGATTGCGCATTTTGCTGATTGTTACACCGACTCTCGCAGAGTCAAACTTATCTACGTACTTTACACATTGATAAACGGTCATGTCCGAGTTAAGTCGGTTCCCCTGATTCTACATGTGGCAATGTCCGTCGGTTGATAAACCAGGATAGCACGGTGGCATCACCCGATTACAACAACACGCCTTCTTCTCGCCTTCATCTCATCCATCTGTATGTTTTCCGCCACATTGAACGTCGAACAGCAGCTCCCCGCCCAAATGCAAAGAACTTTAACACAAGCACGCCATCCGCTGTGCCGGCCTCGGCCGACCGTTCGCTGTGAATTGGATAGGGTGATCGGAAAAGCCTATCTGCAGGTTGACCACGCCCAAGGATGAACGGACACGACGCCGCGGCAACCTGTGAACCGGGGCCGTCTCATCTTCGTACGAACGGTGCTTCTCCCACGAATAAAACGAGTGGATCGGCGAAATCCACTCCTAACGACGACCCGCCCCCCGTGACACTTGCGCGCCCATTCAGAAGCCGCAAGAATCGGCCGTGCGATGGATGTAGACGGGCCAAGACGCGATGCGCAATCGTCGTCGTAGGGACGCCTTGTGTTGAGTGCCAGTGAGTGTTGGATTTCGAGGTAGTATGTGACTCGGTCGGCTAACCGTGGAACAGACATACCCGGAAGAAATGTACCTTTGACGAGCTGCCCCGACAGCGCAAGAAGCCGGCAGCGTCGACCGATAGAATCCATCATCGTCAAATGATAATACCAAAAAACGGTCTCTTTCTCCGAACCGCGCCTCGTCTTCCCGCCAGCAATCGTACGGCGATGCTTATCACGAAGAAATCACCATAGACTCGTCCGCATGCAAAGGGTTCGATTGGATTCCGAAGGTAGTGAATCACCAGGAGGATACAGGGAAGGAAAGATGCCAAAGTGTCCTTGGAGGAAACGCTGGGTTACCATATGATCACGTCCGTTTTGACAGACGACTTGCTGCCCGTAGGCGCGCGAAGAGCAGGATGTGAGTGATGATCCCCTGCCTCAGTCATAACCTAAATTTCCTGCCAGCCCAAGGCGACGAACATATCCGCCAGATCTCCCTGGATAGCAGCAAACCCCAATATGTCATCTTCAGTCACAAAATCGAAAGCGAGAACGCACGTACCCGTCCGTCATCATCATCCATCCTTGCGCCTATACATACCGTTCTGTCACTCGTCATCCACCCCCACCTCCTCCCGCCGTTCTCTTGGAAACTTTCCTCCAAAAAAGCAATGCCGCGTTTCCCATTCTTCCTCCACGCCAGGAACTGCAGGATATCCGGCACCGCTACTGGCCAAGGTGTATATCTCGGCCCTTAATCATCTACCTGGCGGCGTGTACAGGCCATTTGTTAAACGCGTCCGAGAAACGTTGCCTACTTCGTCAGGTAACGGGATACACCGATCCTCGCTTGCTGCTATTTCGGACGCCCTGCTAGATGTATCTGCGCGGCCGGTTGGAGACGCAGAGGAATTATACCTGATTCTCGCCAAAGTAGGTCTGTACTCTCTTCGTGCGGATACACCGCTGAATGAACGCGTATAGGCAGTCGCCCAGGCGCAACTCATTGGGCTCCATCTCGATCCTACAGAGTGGGGCATTCCGGAATGGGAAAAGGACTGGCGAAGAGTGTTATGGTGGGGACTAAGGGTGCACGATGGTTCGTTTCGATGACATTGCCAGTCGGTTACATGCTGACCAAGTGCAGGTTGGATGTCCTTTCTGAACTCACGTCCGTCGCATATCCAGGCGAACAATCACGACGTGAGCATTCCATCGCTAGCGTCCATTCGGACATGCAGCGAAGGAGACGGACTCGCGTTTCATCTTCTTTGTCGTCTGGCAGTCGTAGTCGCGCGTCTGCAGCGCGAGATCTGTACTGTCATGGCACGGCGGGAGGAGCGAGAGGAAAGAGTGGCGCGTGTCGTGGAGATTGAAGCGGATGTGGAGGAACTAGTGACGGAGGTCCGGACGCACGTCAACGAGGAGAGGGAGATTCCCGGATTTGCGTCGTTCATCACGTCGCTGCTTGGTCTGCGGTGCATGATCAGGAGAATAGCGATCGAGCTGGCGATTGGGCTTGGTGCGCCGTTTACGCCTGATCCGGATACGTTGACGCGGTATGCGCAGGCGGTGGATTATATCGTGTCGCTGAACAAAAAGGGCGAGGAGGGAATATTTGATGGGTGGTGGCTGGTGCATGTTGGGCATGTGCTGAGTAGCGTGATGAGCAGCTTGATTCGGCTGAGCTTGGCGACTACGGCGAGTGTAGGGGAGGATGCGCCACCGCCGTCATTCACTGGTGAAGATGGGGAGGCGAAGAAACTGCTCCCTGTGCCACCGTCATTGAATCCGATATTCTTGCTTGCACGATTGAGAGTGGCATTACAGGAGGCCAGGGACAAGTGGCATTGGGATTTGGCAGATGCGGCGCTGGCGCGCGCGGATAATGTCGCCGGGGTGTTGGGGAATCTTTTGGAAGGGGAAGACGAGATGGAGGGGGGCGGGTATGGGCTGGTGGTGAAAGCGTTGAAAGGGGAATGGGCGTCGCCGAGGCTTGTCCATGTGCACGCCGGGGGCAAGTGGAACATTGATCTGTCCGCGCTGGGGACACATTTGGATTGGACGGGGTTCCAAGGGTTTGAGGGGATGCAGCCTGTAGGAGACGGGCAGGGGTGGAGTCCGGATTATGGTGTTGTGGCGAGTTGAACTGTACTACGATTGTTATTATTAATGTTATGACTGATTGTTGTTTGCCTTTCGTTGCGCGGTGTGAGAACGCTTACCTTTGATTTGATAGGGTCATCCGGCGCGATTCCGTCAGCTTCCTGCTTGCTTGATGAGTTCACCGCGAGACTGCGAACGTATGACTCGGCGAAATTGCTGGAAGCGCCAGAGTGATGTTGAATAGCACTGACCAGCGCGCTCTCATGAACGGTCGTGGCGGTATAGTGCATGAAATGAGGTAGTGGCTACTGCGTGAGAGACTGTAAGTTTTAAACGCCACAGAGAATCCTGCAGCGCGGTCCTCGTCAAGTGGCATCTGTTCTCCTCAGCACGGAAATGTAGACGGGATACCGATATGAACATCTAGGAAGAAGGAAAGGATCTCAAGGTATTACCATGGAATCGCGTGTGATATGGCTTAAGGGACACGCGGAAAACGCGTTTAATGGCGCGAGAACGCGAGCTTGTGGGTGAAAATACGCTATGGCTATCGTGGGAAATATACACCAAATTTGGAGGAGTACGTAAACTTCAGGTTTACTTCCCACCATCATCTTTCTCAGTCCTGCTTGATATCGACACAGAGACGCGCTGAAATTGGTATGACTTGGGGTTTACTTGACGCGACGTCTTGGGGGCGTCAATTGTGTGAGGCCGTGCCAATCCTGCACGCCGTAAACCATAAGGTTGAGATATGCCAAGTTGTTGCTGTTCTTGAACGTACGGGACTCGAATGTTACAGCGATCATTCGAGCATGGCCGCACTGTAACGTCGGTCAATATCCAGCGACGCGTTTCAAGTTCAGCATGTTCTCTATCTTGACCTTGAGGTAAGGTCTTCATCGCAGAATAAATTCCGTTTTCTACTTAATTCGACCTTAGGACTTGTTTTCTTCCTGTGAGCCGCTTTACTTCCGCGTCCGAGGGTCAAGGGCTTCAAATCGAGCCGATTTGGTTGTGTCCCGTCATGGTTCCATGCGCTATCATATGAAAGTAACCTTTTCTTTTGTGCAACATTCAACATTTTTCGGATCGGCGCCACGGTAAAACAAAATACCTCTTTGAATTCAAGCATTGAACTTCTTCTTGTAAAATTCAGTTTGCTGGTCAACGCGATCGCCATATATAAAGGACCCCTTCAGATCCAAAATTTCTTCCGTTATGGTTGCAAATCTGACGGAATGGGCTGCGCTGTCACTGTCAGTGATCGCCCCGCGCGTACCTTAGATCGACAACAATTCGTTATGCTTCATACAACTATCATGATCATTCACCGTCGTCGATGTTGTCGCTGCAAAGCCTACTTTCCCGCGTGAATATCCGACCATGGAGTCCTGGACCTTGGAGACCACTTCATATCCACTTGTGTCAACGCGGCCATCGACTTCGATCATAGTTTAGGAACTGTCTGTCCTCCGTCGAGGATCCTCGGAAGCTCCTAACAGAGGCATTCCTCCTTTAACGCTTTCCTTCACACCACCACCGCCGCCTGTCAGGCTTCGTGATTTAGGGTAAAAGGTCTCCTCATGTCGTTGTAGTAGCTTGCTGATTGTATTCGGTAGCCAACATTCATTCACGGCGTCCGTTGACGCCACACGATCTTTTCGCTGTTCGACTTTCTTTCTGCATTGTTCTTCATCATGTACAAACCCCTCACCAACCACCGTCGACCCCCACGACAAATTTTCTACCTCGTCCTTCTCGCGATCTCTATTGTCGGCATCGGCTACTTGCGAGGCTTCTTCGGAGTCCATACGACGAACATTACGTTTAAAAGTGTCACTGTCGTGCAGAACAATTCTCCTTCCTCCGAGCCCGTGGAGATGCCGAACGCCGACTCTGTACCTTTGAAGGCAAAAGAGTTTGGCCGACCTACAGTTCCTCCCCCGCCACCCAAGGCAAAGTCTCTGTCCACACATACCACTACCTCCACGCCTGGGAAACATCGCTTCCGCTCCAACGGACTTGTGTCCGTATCTCCCGATCCCGCTGCCTCTCATCCCATTCCTGAAATTATCGCGTACGCTCAACGCAAGTGGGAAGGAAAGCTCAAGAGAGCGAGTAAAACGTTGCATCACGCTGTCATCGAGTATGAACGGCGTTATGGCAGAGCGCCGCCCCTAGGTTTCGACAAATGGTGGGCATACGTCGAAAAGCACAATGTGCAACTCCCCGACGAGTACGATCAGATATATCACGATATCGAGCCGTTCTGGGGATACACTCCCGCGGATTTGGCGCGTATCGAAATGGATTTTGAGGCCAATCGGGACTCGTACACGCTCGGCAAAGTGGCTGGGGGCATCATCAAGATGGTCAACTATTCTCTCCCGGAGCAAGGTTTCAGTTATCATACCGATGGGGCGATGAGCGTTATAGAGACCCTCGAAGGCGTCGAAGAGTTCATCCCTCCGTTCAGGGCGGTGTTTGTACCTCATGACAATCCGGAGCATGTCTTTGACTGGGAACTAAAGCGCGTCATTCTTCAACACGCAAGCGCTGGAAGTCGTAAGTTTTTTTCTTCGTTTGTCCGCGCCAACTTGATTGTCTGGAAGATCTCGATGCATACAATCCCCAAGTATCCATGAAGTATCATGGTTGGATTTCGGGATGCGATCCGCTCAGTCCAGCATGGAGAGATCCTATCGACTTCACCACTCCCCTACCCCCACCTTCTCCCGCCTCCACGACAAAATCGTTCATCTTCGATCATCGCAAAGCCATGGATCCGTGCCAGCATCCTTCGATTCTTCGGCACCACGGTCAATTCCTCTCTCATCATAAGGGTCCGTACGCCAAGTCGTTTCTCGTTCCGAGCTTCTCGTACTCGCCGAGCCCGATGCACCAGGACATCACACTTGCGCACACGATAGCATGGCGGGGGGAATACAACGAGTCGGATGACTGCTCATGGGAAGAGAAATGGGACGCACGGCTGGAATGGCGTGGTAAGGACACTGGTATCTGGGCCGGGGGCGACCACGAGTGGCGCAGCGCGCACCGGGCGCGTATGGCGGAATGGGCTACGCGCGATTTCGACACCAACTTGACGCTGCTGAACTGGATGGACGAGGGGGAGACGTTTATAACCGTCTCCAAGGCGCGCTATGCGCCTGCGATGCTGGACATTGGGTTCATAGATCCGCCGTCCCAGTGTAGAGAGCCTGTATGCGCCGCGCTCGAGAAGCTGTATCCATTCTATTCCATGCGGCACACGACCGAGGAGGCGTATCGGTACAAGTTCATTCTGGATGTGGACGGGAACGGCTGGTCCTCCCGCTTCCACCGGCTGATATCTACGCGCTCGCTCATATTCAAAAGCACCATCTACCCGAGTGGTGGCTCGACCGTGCGCAGGAGTGGGTGCATTATGTGCCGGTGCAGAATGATTATAGCGATTTGTGGGATAGCTTGCTGTGGTTTAGGGGTGGGCTCAACGGGGAGGGTGCGCATGATGCAGAGGCGAAGCGGATTGCGTATGCGGGGAGCAAGTGGGCCAAGACGTTTTGGAGGAAGGAGGACATGACTGCTTATAACTTTAGGTGGTTTTGGTGAGCTTAAAACGTTGGGTGGGGAGGCTGACGGGTGTATAGACTGTTTTTGGAGTATGCGAGGGTTATGAGTCCGGATAGGACTGGGATGAGCTATAACCACTGGGACGACGGGGTGAACGTTCAATAGATGCATTGATGGGTTCTCTGGTTGTTTTCGCTTTACGACGCGACCTGACGTCGGGGGTTGTGCTAACTGTATTCATTCGTTTTCATTCGGGCGGCCCAGCTTGTTCTCCTGCTCCTGGGCCTTGTATCAAATACACTTTTAGATTTCTATTGAATTCAGTGACAGATACTGAAATGGCGGTTATGAAATCTTCTTCGCTAGTGATCTTCGTTGAGTAGATCTGCCTACTGTGAGGCCACCTTTCTCAAGGCCTCGCGTAGGCTTGCCTTTGGAACAACGCTTGAGCATTAATGGGGTAGTGGTAACCTGGGTCGTTGCCATGCGTCTGTAGCTCGACCCGCCGGGGGTTCGATTCCCCCTTAATGCAGTGAACGCTATTTGTGATGTTAACTTGGCTTTTTGACTTTGACTGAAATCCCCCCGAGGGTGGCGCAGTAAACCGGGGTATTAGTTAACGGTATCGATACCGACCCCCTAGGAGGCTTAGGTTTTGAAACCGTTACTAACGGTTTTGATACCGGCACGTGTTTCGGGCACGTGGTGTGGCGCCGCGCCCTGCTGCCTTCATCCCGCCTTAGTCCCGCCACCTCCAGGCTCTCTGAGTGCCAGCACGCCGGCACGTGCAGTAGTCACGTGCCGGTATCAAAACCCAAGGACCTCCCAGCCCCCGAGGGTTTCAATATCGTATCGATACCGTTATTTACTGCAGTAATCCCGAGCGAGGTGTATCAAAACCTAGGGTTTACTTCACCACCCTAGGTGGCGCAGTACTAAACGGTAACCTCCAGGAGGTCTTACCAACGGACTCGATACCGTTAGTATTTAAAGGTTCTTATGGTCTGTATTCAATCCATCGACGATCATACTCTCGAGTTCTCCGTGCCAACAATGGTGATGGACGGCATTGCACTAAACCCTAGGGTGTTCACATGCACACGGTACACCCACAAAACGAAGTATAACTGTAGACAGCAGAACGAAATGGGTTATGGGAAAGCCTATGATTGAAAGAATAAGAATTAGAGAGGCTGGCAGGGGCAATGGACGTCTCGGGGATGAGACGGTCATCAACTCATTTCGCCAAAGGGACCAAACCCCGACGCGCGCATGCATCACCGACGCCGCCGTACACCCCACTGCACGCGGAACCGACACTGTGCGCACAACGCACACTATAATCTCCTCCCTTCGTTTCTTTGGAGAAATGGATTTGTCTGCTAAAACTTGCGGCATGACTTCTCACGGTTGGTTCATTGAATCACACCATCACCGATTCATCACATCAATACCGCGAGGACAGCGCTTCGCCCGCGCTTAGTTCATCATGGTGTGGCCTTCTGCTTCCACTAAGAAGCCCAGATATAAAACCCAAACACTCTGTCCGTAACTTCTGTCAGACCACCCTTAGAAATGTGGCCCTTCGACTCTCCATATCCTGCTGTACACCCCGAAGACGTTGGTGGTCTCACGTATGACTACATAATAGTTGGAGGTCAGTCACTTCTGTTCTCTACTACTCTCACGTCCCCTTATTAATAAATCATCTTCAAGGTGGAACAGCCGGCACCGTCCTCGCTTCCCGACTGAGCGAAGAAGGCTCCAACGTCACGGTGTCCGTCCTGGTCCTCGAACGTGGTCCCATAGCGGATACATGGGGGAACAGTGTGCCTCTGATCTCTGGTTCACTTCGCCCAGACACCCTCGCGAAGAAAACGATGTCTGCGCCTTTCGCACAGGGAAACGACCGCGAAGTCATTATGATGCGCGCTGAAGGCCTCGGCGGCGGCTCGCGTATCAACGGCATGCTGTACAATCGTGGTGTCCCCGGAGACTACGACCGTTGGGGTCATCCCGAGTGGTGCTATGAGAAGATGTTGCCATATTTTCTCAAGTCAGAGACGTCGCTTAGCCATCCAGCATCGAGAGTGCGCGGTCATACTGGTAAGCAGATTCATCATCTCTCTGTCAGATTCATCTGATACTCATTTTTTGTGTGTGTGGCAGGCCCATGGGTCAACCAAAAGTTTCCCAATTCTCTGTATCGCAGTATCTCTTGGTATGCACATATCTATATTTCGACTCCTCAGCAATCAAACCGACTTTATTCTCTAGTGCGAAGACCGCTGCCTATACTGTGGGGATACCATCTGTTTCCGACTTCAATGATCCTTCGGTGCCCGCTATCAGCACCTGGGACGTCGACGTATTGCAGACTCCCAGTCGAAAACGCGTCTCCGTCTTCTCCGCCTTTCTTCCCGGCCACGTCGCAGAGGCACGCAAGAAACACTTGAAGATCTGCCCAGAGACCCTCGTCCAGCGCGTCGTATTTCAGAGAGGGAGTGGCAATGGGGAGCGTCCGCGCGCAGTTGGCGTCGAATTCAGGAGCGCCAATGCGAAGAAGAGTGGGAAAGTGCTCTTCGCCAAGGCAAGGAAGGAAGTCATTGTGTGCTGTGGGGCGATGGGGAGCCCACAAGTCTTGATGCTCAGGTAAAGCAAGTACTCTACTTTGGTTATGTTGAAGCTAACATCTCTGACCGCTAGTGGCATCGGCCCATCCGAACACCTCCGTTCGCATGGCATTGAAGTCGTCTTTGATAGCCCAGGAGTCGGAAGCTACTTTGTATGGTCCTATCATATTTCATATGCCTCATAGCATTCTGAATTTATTGTCCACCAGAAAGACCACCTCGGTTTACCCCTTGTCTGGAGCACCCCAGTCGACGACTCTCTGCGTGTTCTCCTCGCCAAACCCTGGCGCGCGGCCATCGAAATCGTCAAATACCTCATCACCGGCGGCGGCATCATGTCCGAGCCCTGGGCGTCTGTAACCATGTTTCTCCCTTCGCGGCTCATATCCTCCACTGGCCACGTATCTCCCGCTCCAACTCCCAGCGACCTCGATGTCACTAACCCCAAGAACATCCCGGACATCGAGATTACCCCAATCCCCATTGACGGCGTAGACCCCCGAGAGGACTTCATTGTCCCAAAAGGCGCCTTCTCGTTCCTCATCACGCTTCTCAATCCCAAATCCTCTGGAACCGTCCGTCTGAAATCAGCCGATCCAGCAGAATACGCTCTCTGCGACATCGGGATGATGTCTGACCCCGCAGACTTTGGCGCGATGTACAAGGCCGTACGGCTTGCGTTGCGTATGGCGGAGGAGATGAAGAAGCAAGGGTATCCATTTGAAGGCGAGCTCTTACTCCCGAAGAGCGACTCGGATGGGGATATTGAAGCGTTTATGCGTCAGCATGCTAGGACGACGTATCATTATTCGAGTTCGTGTCGGATGGCGAGGTTGGATGATGCAGAGTCGCCGGGCGTGGTGGATGATGAATTAAAGGTGCATGGGGTGGATGGACTGAGGGTGTGCGATACGTCCGTGTCTCCAGATATCATCGCGGCGCATCCCATGGCACTGGCGGTGGTTATGGCGGAAAGGTGCGCTGATAGGATCTTGTCACAGCACACATAACTTCGTCGTTTTCGAACTACATTTACTTTGCATACCTATGCGGGAGTGCTGACCTTCTGCATCAACAATTCGTGGATGATATTCTTGGTATACTCTGTCTCGACAACGCCACATTGCACTAAAACATAGGGTGTGAATAACTGACAGAAGAATGAAGAAAGAGGTAGATTTCAGATCGTAAAAGAGCGACAAGAAAAAAATACCACAGTCACCCCACAGGTATGGCTCATCCGTGGCTGTATGACTGCACCGGACTATCAACCTGCCTTTCGTGCTGTAACTTAAAGCTTCACATTTTATGAGGCATTATTGCAGCACTTCGAGCAGGCCGAATGACCCCTAGTACCTCCCTGAGAGGCAACGGTAAAAGTTCCTGTATGTCCTTATACTAGCTCTGTTCACGTTTTCTAGTCCTGGTAACTCTTGAGTGTTTCGTCCAGTCCGCGGCGTTAATTGAGATCAATCATGGAACCCCTGCATCTATTTCAACGACTTTAGGACCGCGGCGCGTATGGTATAAGCACCATCGAATGGTAGAAGTCTGCCAGACAGATCTTTCACTTTCGACGTTCAACTTCCACTGTTCCCGTCTGTGGCACAGCGAGTTCATCTCTCAAAATCCCCTGGATCGATCTGGCGAGCGATGTACACTCTAGACAAATACCAGTCTGTAATAAGCCAGCAAGCAAGCACTTAGCAGAAAGGTATGGAACTCTCTGTTCCGCAGGGTGTCCATAGCTTGTAAGGTCACAAGGCAGACCGATATCAGCAAATACATCTTGATAATCTTTGCGACGCCAAACGACGATAGATAAGATACATTGAGATCTAGAAGGGCAGATAATCCGGGACAACATGACTGTACTTCACTCGAGAGTCATTGTAACCTGAAAGAGAAACATATAAAACAAGAAATGGATACGAACATCTTCGGTTGCGATTGAAAACAGGAGTGCGCAGAGTCAACTGGATATGAAGGCATGATAGCGCGAAGGTGATGGCGTCGCGAGTTGGCGCGCAACGCAGCCCCCCGCGAAACGCTTACAACATTCCGAGCACAAGCTGCGTTCCTCGCAACCCTCCAGAGCGCTCGGCGCGGATAACAGCCGTCGCTTTTGGCCGCTTGTCTAAACGCGGTGCTTGATTAACGATAGTAAAACAGAGTCTGCACAGGGCGATTTCTCGAGAACAGTCCAAATCAGTGCTACAGTAGCACTAACAGGTTTCTACGCGCTTTCACGTGAACAGTGAACAAGATAATTCAACGCGGGCTCCGGGAAACGAATGGTCTTGAGATCTGTCGCGAAGGGGGGAGATTACATCCTCAGTTAGCATCAGATCAGCGTGGTATAAAGAATCTGTTTGGATGCTTCTGAAGCTAACGGCAGTGGTCTTTCCTGTATCTTCTAGACGGCAGGCCAGTCATGACAAAGGACCCCGTACCACCGTACCACACTGGAAGCCGATAGTCGATGGGATGCGCGCAGTACCGTATAAGCCACGACAGGTGCATCCGTATCAAGATGGGAACTCTTGTCAATTACTACATCGGCAGACCCGACGCGCGCCCGGGATAGCGGATTCTCGAACACGACGTCCAGCGGCGACGCTATCCGCCGTAAATTTTCGATTTCGCGCCTCCCGGTCAAATCCTCGCTATTCCCCATCCCGCGTCAGGCATAGCAGTGATACAGGCACGGGCTCGCGAATGGGATGCCCTTCCAGATACACAATATGCCTCGCATAGCCAGGCATCCGCTCCATAAAAATAGGTAACTCGTGCTAACGAGGCTTGCAGCAGCGAGGCGCTTGTGCATTACTCGATTCTCGAGCATGGAATTCCGTTGACACGACTGGAAGCAACTTGGGCTCTAAGAGACCTTGTAATC